ACCCTGGAGTAAAAGCTCAAGTCTTTGCGCTGACCTGCAACAAGGCACGACCGCCTGGCCTCTGACTTCATCTCCTAAAGCTCTCCCTGTGCTCACTCTCTTCCACCCACCCCCACCGGCCTCCTTGCTCTCACCCCCAACACACCTGTAGGCACCTGCCTTAGAACTTTGCCCTGGCCGCTTCCTGGACCTGGAATGTTGTGCCAAATAGTCTCAGGTCTCACTCTTTCACCTCCTCCATGTCTTTACTCAAATGTCACCTTCTCAATGCAACCTTCCCCGAGCAATATAAAGCTGCCAAGCTCCCCCACCCTGGCACCCAGCCTCCTCCCTGCTTTGTGTCTCTCCTTAGCTCTTGTAACTAACTGACATGCATATTTTACTCGCTTATATTGTTTTTATGACTCCTCCACAAGAATATAAGTTCTGTGAAGGCAGAAATGTTAATCTGTTCTTTGGTTTTTTTCTCACTGCTGTATCTGTAGTAGCACTGGGGGAGAGGGGATGAGAAAAGAACAGTGCTCTGCACGTAGTAGCAACTCAACTTTCCCTCTCTGTCTCTCTCAGAGAAAGTAAAATAAACTTTTCACTTCTTTCAATCCTAATCTTTGTGTTGACAATTCTTCCTCCACCTTTGCCGTGAGCTCCCCAACCTAACGACACCCATTCTGCCCATCCCGACATCTTTCTAACAGAATTTGTTCTTCTCCTTCTTCTGGCCAAGTGCTTCTTGGAAGCCCCTAAAACCTGGGGCCCGGTCTAATCCAAATATGCTGAACCTGGCCTGGTGCGGTGGCTCACGCCTATAATCCCAACACTCTAGGAGGCCAAGACAGGAAGATCACTTGAGCTCAGGAGTTCGAGACCAGCCTGAGCAAGAGTGAGACCCCCCTTCTCTACTAAAAATAGAAAAATTAGCCAGGTGTGGTAGCGTGCACCTGTAGTGCCAGCTACTCGGGAGGCTGAGGCAGGAGGATCGCTTGAGCCCAGGAGTTTGAGGTTGCTGTGAGCTAGGCTGACGCCATGGCACTCTAGCCCAGGCAACACAGGGAGACTCTGTTTCAAAAAAAAAGTGTCGTTGATAATGTGCTGAGGCTCCAAGTTAACCGTCCCGGGGGCACCCTACTTCTGAACTCATGTGAAACAATAAATTCCTTATTGTTTCAGCCACTTCAAATTGTGAGATAGAGTAGGAACCCCTCTTAGGGGTCTGCCAGGTGCCCCAAGCATGGGAATAAAGGAAAATCTTAAGTCCCTTTAGTAGAAATTCCAGGCCCCTAGCTAGCTGTGAAAAATGAATGGAAATAACAATGGCTCTCCAAGCAAGCCAGAGTCCTGAGGTGTTTTTGTTCCTTATGGAAACTGGCATCTTAACCTATGTTCTAGGGTTGTTTTCCAGAAGCCCAGACTAGAAGGAAAATGCAGATAACGGGTAACTGAGGAATTGAACTCTGATTACCATTCTTTGTTCTAAATTTCTCTCTGAGGGACCTGGAGAGAATCACATCCACCTTAACATTCCTTTCCGATAATCCTTTCCTTTCTGAATCCTCCTATGACCGTAGGCCCTCACTTCAGGATATCCCACCTTTTGGGGCCAAGCCAAAGTATAAGCTCCATGTATTGATTTACAGTTTTGTCTGCCTGAAATGTACCCCCTGGCTTTAAAATCCCTGTTTGAGGCCGGGCGCGGTGGCTCACGTCTGTAATCCTTGCACTCTGGGAGGCCAAGGCAGGCGGATTGTTTGAGCTCAGGAGTTCGAGACCAGCCTGAGCAAGAGCGAGACCCCATCTCTACTAAAATTAGAAAGAAATTAATTGGACAACTAAAAATATATAGAAAAGATTTGCCAGGCATGGTGGCACATGCCTGTAGTCCCAGCTACTCGGGAGGCTGAGGCGGAGGGTTTGTTGAGCCCAGGAGTTTGAGGTTGCTGTGAGCTAGGCTGACACCACGGCACTCACTCTAGCCCGGGCAACAAAGTGAGACTCTGTCTCAAAAAAAAAAAAAAAAAAAAAAAATCCCTGTTTGAAAGCCATTGAGGAGTTCCGGTCTTAAATGTTAGCTGCCCATTGTCCTTGCATGGTGTTGTAACCCACCCTGTGAACAACTTGCAATGACCTCTATGTGTTTTTATAATCCTCTTCCTTAACTACTTGACTTTTGAGTTGTATCCCAGAAATGGTGGATTTTCTGCAAGACAAAGGAGCTGAGATTCTGAAGGCCCCTGGGCAGACTTCCTGATGCCAAGATTCACCATCCCCCACAAACTGCCCCAAGGAACATGGCCGCTTTTTAGTTACAGCACTACCTGCCCCAAAACACATGGCCCCGCCTTTAAAAGCCCATAATCTCATGAGTGGATTAAAATAAAATGTGGTGTATGAATATCATGGAGTACTATTCAGCCATAAGAAACAATGGTGATATAGCACCTCTTGTATTTTCCTGGATGGAGCTGGAACCCATTCTACTAAGTGAAGTATCACAAGAATGGAAAAATAAGCACATGTACTCACCAGCAAATTGGTTTCACTGATCAACACCTAAGTGCACATATAGGAATAACATTTATCGAGCGTCAGGCAGATGGGAGGGGGGAGAAGGGGATGGGTACATACAAACATAATGAGTGCGATGCGCACCATCTGGGGGATGGACACGCTTAAATCTCTGACTGGGGGAGAGGCAAGAGCAATGTAACCTAAACATTTGTACCCCCATAATATGCAGAAATTAAAAAAAAAAAAAAAAAAAAAAGCCCATGATCTCCACTGGCCAGAAAGACAGACTTTAGGCAACTTCTCCTGTTCTCCAGACAAGACATCTTTTGCATTAAAAATACCTTTCTTCATTGGCAATCCTCAGTCCTCATTGACTCAATAATTGGATCTTTGTGCAACAAGAAACTAGACCTAGACCAAAACCCCCTTGCAGTTTTGACAAGTGACATATGATAAAAATGCCTCTTTCTCCCGCTACAACTCTCAGCTTCAGTGTCTGGCTTTGCTGTCTGGCTTTGCTCCACTAGTGAGCAGACCCCAGTTTGGTTTAGTAACAACTGGTTTTCTGTTTCTTGAGGGTAAAGTGTTAAGTGTTTCCATGATATGGTACCAATCTTTCTTTCTACAGGTATTTCCACAACTCATCTGCATTCACCCAACTTAGTTCTCCAAGTACACCTGTGATCAAGTCATTTTGAATGCACCTTCCCCAAGATCCTGGCCAGTCAAAATACTGTCATTCATCAAACACAATTTAATTATCACTTTCTCCTCTAGCCCTTTCATAAATTATCTCAAAATTAAGTGATCAGATCTAAAATCTTCCAGTAGTGTTTCTACCTCTAGCATTCACCATGTTTTTGTTAGTGTTACTTACACAATGTCTACACCTGCATTACACCACAAGCTTTGAGAAAAGAAAAATAGCTCAGAGTAGTCTGAGCTACGTGAGGTATGCACAGAGGCCCAGAGAGACACGAGTAGAGGACTTCAGCCACACCCCTCCCCACTTCCACTCCCCTGTGGGGGATGGGAGATTGTTTAAAGGCATTTTGTCCCTAACTACCTGCCTCCCCATTATCTTCATGTTCCTGGAATTTGTGATACAAAGAATAATGTACAGTTACTCAATAGCTTATGTTATTTTAAGGTAAATTCTTGGTAACAATTTAGAAACTGTGTCTTTTTTCCTTAAAAGCTCACTTGTAACTGCTGCTAATCTGAGGGTATTTTCAGGGCAACTTGAACCTATACTTCGGGTGGCTATCCTCAAGCTTTGGGCTCTCGAGCTTTCAGCTTGAATAAACTCTAGACCTAATCATATTTTCTGAATCTCCTTATTTAAAGTTGACAACTTCAAAGCAGAGAAGAGGTCCAGATCTTAATGTAAAGGCTTAACATTTACTGGGCATAGTTCTAAGTGCTTTATATTTATTAATACTTTTAATCTACACAACAAATCTTAAGAGATAAATTCTATTATTCCCATTTTGCAGATTAGGAAAATGAAAAGCAGAAACATTTTCGCCTGAGATTACAGGGCTAGCACGTTGCAGAACCTGCATTCAAATCAAGGCAGCATTGCTCTGAGGCAGAGGAGGGAGGCTGGCTTGAGGTCAGGAGTTCAAGACCTGAGCAAAAGCGAGACCCCAGTCTCTACTTAAAAAAAAGAAAAGAAAAAGAAAGAAAAAATTAGCCGGGCGTGGAGGTGGCGCGTGCTTGTAGTCCCAGCTACTTGGGAGTCTGAGGCAGGAGGATCGCTTGAGCCCAGGAGATCGAGGTTGCTGTGAGCTAGGCTGACACCACAGCACTCTAGCTTGGGCAACAGAGATAGACTGTATCAAAAAAAAAAAAAAGACAGCATTTTGTTGAATTGAAAGTGTAACTGCAAAAGCAAATAACTGATTACAAAAGATACATAGACTTCACTTAAACACACTACAAGATTTTTTAACATTGCTAGGATTAAAACCAAACCATCTGCGCTTATAAGCACAGACGCACTCCACGATGTGTCTCTCTTCAGCGCCTGGGACTCTTTTTTTGAAAGACTCAATAAACTGCCCACCCCTTTCCCCAAATTATAAGTCTGTGGGGTAGCCGTTTCCGCTCCACGCACCCGAGGATCCTCTGACCTGCTGTCACAGAGCTGTGAGCAGAGATGGCGGGAAAACGCACAGACAAGGTTACGGAGGGCGGCGTCGGCCCGCCCCTGGGGCGGGAAACGTAGAGGTGCCACAAGACACCAGGAAGCCCTTTCCCACGTAACAGAGCTGGGAGCCCGGCTACCGTGGGCGTGTCATCCAGGATCAGCCCGGGAGCGCGGCGGCAGTGGCGGGCAGAGCAACAGCCGAGGACGGCACTGGAAAAGCATTCTCGCATAGCCTGCGACAATGGCGCCGACACCACCCCTGCAAAGCCACACTCCAAAGGGAACTGGAGTCAGCCGCCGTTGTCCCCGAGAGCTCCACGAAGACCGCCATGCCCGACGAGCTCCCATCACGCATGCGCACTTATAGGGGAGACGCCGATGGGCGGAGTCAAGAGCCGGAAGTGCCTTGCAGCGCAGGCCTTCTCGGGAAACCCGCCCACCGGAACTGCCTCGAGGTCCCGCCCCCAAACGGAACCCTAGGTTGCTGGGCAACCGATGCGGGCGCCGTAGGTGGGCTGTGTGCTCTCAGGAGCAAACCGAGCGTAGCTCCCACCTCCTACCCTGGCCCGCCTTTCTTATTGCCGCCTCTCCGCGCGTCGCGGAATCCCTGTCCTTGGCACTACTTACGTCTTTCCGATTCCTACGACGCCTTAGCGCCCACCTGCTTCAAAACCAAACTCCACCGAAGGCGAGGCAGTCCGACCCCGGACATGGCCTCTCTGTTGACTGACCGCACCTCTCGGGCCGTGAATACCTACACCTACACCAGCCGGCCCCGGGCACTGCCCTGCCAGCGCCGCCGTTACCGGGACAACTTCTTGCAGCCGTGAGTAACCAAACCGGCCCTATGTGGTTTCCACTTGCGCCCCATCTCACCTTGGCAAAAGCTGCCTATGCTGCTTTCCCTTGTCTACACTCTGCCGAAGTAAAATTCCTGCCCTAAAGAACTCTCCCGTGATGTGGAGTAAAGCAAGAAGGGGCATGGGTGACCTCTCTTAGTTAACTTTTAAGTGATATTGAGTTGCTATCAAAACCATACTGCTGTTAGCTAAACTTGCTGATGAGTGACTAGAAGACCATATCCAAAAAATAGGCTTTTATATCAGTCTGTCTCTGTCCTATAAAGTCCTTATTTTCTTCAAAACTTTATGTTAAACTGGATAAATCTTTCAGTTTTTCAGACGATACATGGTTGGAATGGATAACTTAATATGATTGAAGGGAGTCAATGTTCCAAATTATCTTGATTGGGTATATAACTGGGCTGAAACCAAAAGATGAAATTTAGCTGGCTAGCTGTGAAGTTCTAAACTTAAGTATGGAAAGTCAATTACACAAATACAGAAATGGGAATATCTGTTTTTTATTTGGAAGGACCTAGAAAGTTAAGTTTAACACAAGTCTAATGTGAGTCAAGAACTTCCACCTTTTTGTAGAATCATAAATCTTAAAACTAAAGGAAAACATTTGAATACTAGTCTTCTCATTTACAAACAAAATGTAATACATCTTTTCTGTAGTTATTGGTAGTTAAGTGATCATAAACACCATTAAATTCACCTTTAGGCATGTGCCCAAAGAAAATTGTGATAATGACATCCTTATTTTACAAATCCTTTGGTAAAAGATGTATAACCCTTCTAATAAAATAACATTTTTAATGCAAATGAATGAAAAAAATTACCTTAGAACGTATCTTTTATTTGACTCTGATCAAAAGAGGTTTAAAATCATTGTAGGCAGAATAATGGTTCCCTAAAGATGTCTTCACCCTAATCCCAGAACCTGTGAATGTATTACCTTATTTACTTAAAGGGACTTGGAGGTTAAGGATTTTGAAATGGGGAGAGTATCCTGGATTATCCAGGTGGGCCCTATATAATCACAGTGGATCCTTATAAGTGAAAGAGGTTTCAATAAACAACTTTGTGTCCTGGACTTTTATTTCTATGAGGCAGATTTTCGAGAGTAAAATCGCTAGGCCATGTATATTTTTAATACAAATGGAACAATATACCTTTCCTTCCAGACTATTTTCCCATATCCTCACCAACAATAGGTGTTATGGATTTTTTTCTTTTTAGATTTTGTTTTGGTTTTGGATAGTGTCAAACCAAATTTTTCTTCATTATTACTTTAATTAGCACTTGGAGGCTCTAACTAAGTATTATGTTTGGATTTTTCCATTGTAAAAGATCGCTGACTACAATAAAAGCGTTGTTACAGACAATCAAGAGACTAAGAGACTTTTTCAGTAGTCCAGGTAAAAGAGTGGTATCAGTGAGCAATGGATGGATGCAAGAAAGATTTGGGGGGTAAAATCAGTACAACTTGCTAGGTGTAGCGGATAGGGAAGAGGAAGAGTCATGGAAGATTTTCAGGCTTCTGGATGAAGCCAGCTGCATGATTAGTAGCACTATTTAATGAAATGGTAAACACTGAAGAAGTAGTGAGTTGGAATGGGAGAGTGACAATTAGTCAATTTTGAGGTTGCCTTCCAGACATCCAATGAGATGTCATCGGGCAACTGGATATACTTAAAATTGAAAGAAGAGTTCTGAGCCAAAAATAAAATTGTGAGTTTTAGATATATGGATCGTAATTGTAGCCTTGAAAATGGATGAGATCAACTAAGGACAAAAGAAGGCTGAGCCCTGAGGAAATCTTCCAGGACAGGAGGAACTGCAAACAAAGGCCAAAAAAGAGCCACCAGAGAAGTAGCAGAAAAATAATCAGAAGAATATGGTAGTATCACAAAGGCCTAGAAAAGAGAGTGCTACAGTGAAGGAGTGGCCACCTGAGCTTAACACTGCCCAGAGGTCAATTAAGATGAGCAGTGAAACATGTCAGGATGTTCAGTAGTGGCTTCAATGTATGATGCAAAAGCAACTTATACCCCACTCGAAGTTGTTTCAGATAGAATGCTGTTATTGGTGGAGATCAATGTTTGGCTTCATAGCTATAAATAGGATATCATTTAAACAACTTTGAATAAAAATATCAACTGTGTATTTGTGTTTTTTACACTTGATCATTTATTCTGATCCCTGAAATTAAAATTCTATTAATATTTTAAATAACTTTAAAAAATATCTTTAGTTTTAAAGAACAATGAGAAATTTGACTTATTTTTTTTAAGCCTGATTCTTTTGTTAATGTAACTTTTCAATCTTTGAATCAAGCTTTTTGCAGTCCTTTAGGGCAGGCCATTTTCACATTTTCAGATGGGCCATTTTCACATTTGTTAAGTAGTCATACAGATATACAGCCAAAATCTAGATCTGCCACTTACTAGCAAGGTGACCTTGGGCAGATTTCTTTGAGTCTATTTCCTGTTCCATCAAATAGTAGGAATCAGAGTTCCCAACTTGAAGGTTATTGTGAGCAATAAATAATGTATATGAATGACCTGGCATATAGTAAGCATTACATAAATGGTAGCCATTTATCTCCTTATTTTGTGGACCATGCTAAAACAGAAATACATTTTCTTGAAATATTTTCATCTTAGTCTAAATCCTATTGAAAATGAATTTGGCCAGGAGTGGTGGCTCACGCCTGTAATCCTAGTACTCTGGGAGGCCAAGGGGGGAGGATTGCCTGAGGTCAGGAGTCGGAGACCAACCTCAGCAAGAGTGAGACCCCATCGCTACTAAAAATAGAAAGAAATTAGCTGGACAACTGAAAAAAAAAAATTAGAAAAAACTAGCCAGGTGTGGTGGCACAGGCCTGTAATCTCAGCTACTCGGGAGGCTGAGGCAGGAGGATTACTTGAGCCCAGGAGTTTGAGGTTGCTGTGAGCTAGACGCCATGGCGCTCTAGCCTGGGCAACAGAGCAAGACTCTGTCTCAAAAAAAAAAAAAAAAAAAAAAGGAAAATGAGTTTACTTCATAGATACCAACACTCTATTTTCTGTTTTACAGAGAGGAAGAACCTATGCGTTATGGAAACATAATGTATGACAGAAGGGTGATCCGAGGCAACACCTATGCACTACAGACAGGGCAGCTGGTAAGTTCAATTTGAATAGTCTAACACTGAGCACTCACACTATCTATGGTGAAGGATCAGTTTGTTTTAATCCATTGCAGATTAAAACATTCATAAAATAAAGATGAGTTACTAGAAAAAGGAAATTTTAAAAAAGACATACAAATATTAATATAAGCACAATGGTGGTCGCCAGGGGTTGAGAGGAACAGGGACAGGGAGTTCCTGTTTAATGAGTACAGAGTTTCGGTTTAGTAAGGTGAAGAGTTCTAGAAATAGATGGTGGTGATGGTTACAGAACAATGTGAATGTACTTAATGCCACTGAATTGTACACTTAAAAATGGTTAAGGTGGTAAATTTTATTTGTATTTAACCACAATTAAAAATAGTAAGTAAAAAATTACAAGCCCTAATTTTTTATTAGATTTAATAGAATTCTAGCAAGCAACTCTAAAAGTTTCTAAAATTTTACTCTCAATTTCTGTACGTGAATTGTTACAGACCAGCTCGAACAGTTCACAGACAGCGCTAGTCTGAGGAACACAGTTTAAGTAGCACTGCTCTAATACCTTTAGGTTTGCTTACATTATCTCATACTCTAATGCATTTATCATTATTTGATCAAAAAGTCAGAATTATGCCTCTTTTAATTCACTCAACAAATATTTGTTGAGTTTGAGGTCCTGTGCTGGGTACCTACGATACAGAGAGAAGTTAAATGTGGTGTGATACTAAGGGTGGGGATTTCTTGGCACGGAAATGAAATATAGTGAATCCATAAACAGTACATTACATATGAGTGCTGAATACAAGGTGGTAATAATACAGATGCTGCTCTACTTACAATGGGGTTACATCCCAATAAACCCATTGTAAGTTGAAAACACTGTAAATTGAAAGTGCATTTAATACACTCAACCTACCAAACATCATAGCTTAACCTAACCTACTTTAAACGTGTTCAGAACACTTACATTAGCCTATGATTGGGCAAAATCATCTAACACAAAGGCTATTTTATAGTAAAGTGTTGAATATCCCATGTAATTTATTGAATCCTGTACTGAAAGTGAAAAACAGAATGGTCATATGTGTACTTGAAGTAGAGTTTCTACTGAATGGGTATTGCTTTTGCACCATCATAAAGTCAAATCGTCATAAGTCGGGGAACATCTGTATATGGAATGTTAGCCTGAAGCAGCGATTCTTAAAACTGGCCATGAATCAGAATCATCTAGAAAACTTATTAACAATGTATGTGATTCAGCCCTGTCTCGAATCTTCTGTATTAAGACCTCCAGGGGTCGCCTGCTTCCCCGACCAAGGTGGTAGCAACAAGGGTGGAACAGGAAGCTAAACTTCTACCTCCACCCAGCAGCAGTGAGGTAGTAAAAGATGGTACAAGTCAGTGCCCCACTTTTTCTGTTGTGGTGTGAGCAAAGCCAGAGGGGAGCTGAATTTTTAATCCTAACTGGTAGTAACAAGGAGGAACAAGATAGTATGAGGCAGTGCTAGTCAGTGCTTCATTCCCACCCCAATACCAGTGTCAGCAGAGCCTAGGAATGAGCTGAGCTCCCACCCCCACCTGGCACCAATAAAGTGGTACAAGTTGGTCCTCTGCTTTTGCTGGGGTGGTGTCAGTGGAGCCCAGCATGGAGTTGACTTCCAACTCCACTCAGACTTATACATTAAAACAAAAGAGGTGTCTTCATGCTGAAAGCTTAAGTAGGATCCAAAGCCTCAGAATATAATACCCACAATATCCAGGATACAATCGAAAATCACCCATCATACGAGAACCAGGACAGTCACAACTTGTGTGAGAAAAAACAGTTGAGAGATGACACCAAGATGACTCAGATGTGGGACTTGCCTGATAAGGATTTTAAAGCAGCAATCAAAATGTTTCAATCAAAAATGAAGAATTATGAACACTCTTTAAACAAATGAAAAAAATAGAAACTTTTAGCAAAGAAATAGAAGATGCAAAAATGAACCACATGGAAACTATAGAACTAAAAAATAATCAAAATCAAAAACTCACTGGGTAGACTCAGTAGTACATTGGCGATGACACAGGAAATGATCAGTGAACTCAAAGAGAAATCAGTGGAAATTACCCAGCTAAACAGTAGAAAATAGACCAAAAGAAAAGAGCCTCAGAAAGCTGAGAAACAATAAAAAAAGGTCTGCATTCATGTTATTGGAATTCCAGAAGGAGAGGAGAAAAAGTCTGGGATAGAAAAAATATTTGAAGAAGTAGTGCCTGAAAATTCTACAAATTTGGCAAAAGATCTACAAATCCAAGAAGCTAAGTGAGCTCCAAGAAGGATAAACCCAAAGAAATCCACACCAAGTCACATCAAAATCAAACTTTTGAAAACTAAAAAAACATTCTGAAAGCAGCCAAAAAGAAATGACATATTAACTAACGCGGAGCAATGATTTGAATGACAGTAGATTTCTCATCTAAAACTGGTTATTCTTTACTGGTTCCAAAATGGCAGCAGGCTGGCTTCACTCTCCTATATAGAAAACCAACACTTTCCATCCAGTGTACTGACCAGAAAAAAAAAAAAAAGAAAAGAAAAGAAAACCAACAACAATGTGCAGTGTGGAGATTATCACCAGCAATATCTCAGAGCTCAAGTATGAGTAGGAGACAGTTCCTAGGGCCACAGAGAAGTGAAAAAGCTCCAAGCAGACAGAGAATCAGAATTCTATATCCATCATGCCCCTCCCCCCAGTCTGCCCAGCACCTAGCATGCAAAGACTGTCCCCCTGACTCGTGGTTTCCACGCTGGAAAAAGTGAGACTGAGGTAGATGACCAGCTTCTTCACCATCTTGAGTTTCCTGGCAGAAGACCTGTCCTCCCATAACCCATGGGAAGCATGGGAATTGCCTGAAGGAAGAAATATCCCTGAGCACAGCCAGAGATAAAGCAGGGAGACAGGACTACAGTCCCCAGCCCTGTAACTCTGCTCTGTAACTTGGGCAAAGGAATTACCAAATCAGAGTTGCATTTATGTTAACACCCCAAATCTTTCAAGAATTGACATTTATAATTCTGTTCCATGAAGAAAATGGAAATAAATCAAGCATGATACTATAATAGTGTAGAATAAATACACAAAGGAAAAAGATCTTCACTGAATGGTCCCAAAATGATATTAGTAATTAGATTTTTTAAATGGAATTATAGGCAGTTCTTTCCCTTTTTTGGTAATGTGGTTGTATTACTTTATAATAAAAGCATATGATAATATGGAGGAAAAGAGCTATTCTGTGTCAGGTATTGTGTTAAGCTCATTACATTACCATCTGATTTGTTCCTTACAACCAAAACCTTAGATAGATGTTATTAATATTCTCATTATACAGATGAGAAAACTCAGTATCTGAAAACTTAGGTCATTAGTCCAAGCCTTACTAACCCTAGGATTGATAAATTGAAGAGTTGGAATTTGAGCTTCAGAACAAATGCTCATATTTCCACTATATGATGCCAAGACGAGGGAAAGTTTACGATAGTGTTAAATTAGAAAGACAGTATAAAGCATGTACAGTACCATCACAAGCTCAAAAACATTATGTATTTAAATAATATAGAATGATAGGCAATTCTCTCTTCTGTTTTTAAAAAACTTTAATGTTACATTGTCACTTCAATTAAAACGTTTAGAATTCTAATTTTAAATATTAAAATTTTTCTCACAAAATACTTTCATATTTCCCCTTTCTTTTCATGTTTACTTTGAGATAAGGAAGGCCAGCTATAGAGAATGACTGTAAAATAAGATGCAGATACTGCATCAAGGGCCTCCAAATATTATAGAACTACTGTGAATAATTATGTTTTTAATCCCTTAATCAAGCTATCATTTTGTGCACTGGGAGAGGCTTCATTTGGACTGAGGATGTTTTCTTTGTGAGCTAATATATTTTTCCAGGAAATTCTGTCCAAATGAAATTCAAATTTTAACAAATTCTAAAGCTTTTCAATTTCTCAACTACACATTAAAATTTATTTTAAGTGAATGGTTATGTCAGTTTTTACTAGGCACCGGAGGAATTCATGATAAAAATGCTTAAATGAGGAAAAACAATTTATTAGATAGGACTCTGCATCCATTTATTCCAGTTAATAGCCATACTTTGAAGTTACTTTTATGCTTTTTCAGACACCTTTGTAATTACCTGACAAAGTTCCAAGAAAATTTTACTAATCAAGTCATTGATAATTGTGAAGCATCATTGTAACATGCTTTAGGACTACCCAGGAATTACTTTTGGAATGGCAGCTCCCATATGCTTTGAGAAATATTTTATAAATTCTAGAAGCCTTTTCTGTCCCTAATAGCCTGGACAGCCTGATCCTCTAGAGCTTCAGAGACAGCAGCAGGCTAAGAGGAGGGCTCTTGCCAGAAAACGAGCCCAAGAGCAGCTCCGACCACGAACGCCTGAACCTGTGGAAGGCAGAAAGCACATGGATGTACAGACAGGTTTGTGAGCATGTCTTTGGCATTGTGGCTCCTTTGTTTTCTTGTTTTTTTTTTTTTTTTTTTGAGACAGAGTCTTGCTCTGTTGCCTGGGCTAGAGTGGCGTCAGGCTAGCTCACAGCAACCTCAAACTCCAGGGCTCAAACTCCTGCCTCAGCCTCCCTAGTATCTGGGACTACAGGCATGTGCCACCATGCCCAGCTAATTTTTTTCTATGTATTTTTAGTTGTCCAGCTAATTTCTTTCCATTTTTAGTAGAGACGGGGTCTTGCCCTTGCTCAGGCTGGTCTTGAATTCCTGACCTTGAGCGATCTTCCCGCCTCGGCCTCCCAGAGTGCTAGGATTACAGGTGTAAGCCACCACACCCGGCCTGTGGCTCCTTTGTTTACTGTGTCAGTTCATTTTTATTTGGCCTTTGTGTTACATATGCATCTCCTGTGCTATCCACTACTTCCCTAATCATGTAGTAGGGAAGTCCATTCATTAAACAAATACAGCATATATATTATTATATTGGATATGGCTGGAAGTTTGACGTAGGCTTTAAAAAACATAATTTTGTGACCAAACTCATTCTCTCTTAGTCCTTTTCACATACTCTATTCTCAAACTGGGATTATCCCTCATTATGTCTGGATAGTAAAGGCAAAGGGAGAGAACCGGTCCATGCTCTTTCCCCGTGCCCTTATGCCAAATCTAGAATAAGTGTATGTCTATCATTAGCCAGTACAGTTGTAATTCTGTGAGGGCTAAGTTTGAGCGAGTGGGTACACCACCAGAATGTTAAGTGATACAATAGCAGCCACCTTTTGTTGAGTATTTCTTCAGAAACTATACCTGGTTCTTTACCAATATTTCCTCAGATACCTCACCAAGTCCTTTATCTTAGCATCTCCTTTATCATTACAAAGATTCCATGTGACAGATAGTTATGATTCCTTTTATGGATGAAGAAACTGAGGCCCAGAGAGGACGTAACTTGCCAGGTCCTATGTTCAACATCTGACTCCATTGCTCATGTTCTTTGCATGATACCACATTGCCCCTACCTCATATCAGTTATTCCTAACATGAAATTTGTTTTCATACAACTGTTTATAGAGTAGGGGGAACATAGATAACATGGTGACTTGGAACATGATATTTTAAAATATCCAGGAATTTTCAAATCTTTATACATATACCATCTTAGGGCTCAGTTATATATATATGTATTATTAACTTTTCATCCACTATTACACTTTGCATCTTATACACATCTGTGTCCCATGTTCTTCTTTGGTTCCATTTTCAAATACAAAGCTCAGTGCTTTCTAGATATTCAGTTAATGTTCCAGTTTGACTTATGATCTTCCAAATATATAAAAACTTTCATTAATAGTTCAATTATGTCATTTGAACTCCACATTTGAGCACTTTCATTCTGACTTATTTTCTGATCCATTTAATTCTCTTTTAAAGAAGCTAAAATTTCAGGTACACATATATACTTGAAATAGATGAGAATTTTAAACTCAACATATATGCTATTCTTTTTAGAATTATACCTTGAAGAAATTGCTGACCGCATAATAGAAGTTGATATGGAATGCCAAACAGATGCATTTTTGGACAGACCATCAACACCACTCTTTATTCCTGCCAAAACTGGCAAAGATGTGGACACTCAAATACTAGAAGGAGAGGTACAGGACATTCTGTGGGCTTTCCTCTATTATCTTTATAAATGAGGTAAAGTTAGGTTTAGGTAAAGCTTACTACAGGTAAGAACTGCTTCACAGTCAGAAACATTCTACTTTTTGGATTTCTTTCCAGATATTATCTATAATGGCTTTATCCTTGTTAAATACCATCTTCTGATTGCTGATTAGAAACAAAGTCATTCTGTTTTAAACATCTACACATTTGAATTTTGTTTACATATTCAATGTATATATGTAAGGTAGATTTGTACCAAATAAGGAAATATAATATCCCTCATATAGGAGATTCTACTATTAGTTGCTTGTGGATTACATAACTTTTATAAAGATACTTACTCTATCTGTTAAAAAAATCTTTTTTTTTTTTTTTGAGACAGTCTCGCTCTGTTGCGAGACTACCAGAGTGCCGTGGCGTCAGCCTAGCTCACAGCAACCTCAAACTCCTGGGCTCAAGCGATCTTCCTGCCTCAGCCTCCTGAGTAGCTGGGACTACAGGCGTGTGCCAGCAAGCCCGACTAATTTTTTTTCTATTTTTGGTTGCTCATCTAATTTTATTTTTATTTTTTTTGTTAGAGACAGGGTCTCCCTCTTGCTCATGCTGGTCTCAAACTCCTGACCTCAAGCAATCCTCCCGCCTCGGCCTCCCAGAGTGCTAGGATTACAGGCATGAGCCACCACTCCCGGCCCAAAAAAATCTTAAAATAATTATATCTTCATATCAGTGTGGAATGCATAAATAGGCCAGTTTATGAAATTGAAGAAGAGAAGACAATGATTATATGCATAGTGACCTAAATGAAATTTAAAACTTGAAGGAACTTGAAAGAGCTGTCAATGAAATTGAGAAATAAGTCGTCAGAAACTATAGAGAAGGGTATATTTGTCTGTAAATCCTAAAGATGAATCACCAGAATTCCATTTTTCTTGTTCCTTAGTTCATCACACTGTTGTTAGAAAACAACCAGCAAAAATCAAGCAGAAAAAGCAGAGAATAAGACAGACAGCGATGTTTTCCATGGGTTTCCGAGTTTGAGCTTAAAATTGTTGAGTATCAGGATTCATTTTGATGAATGCATAGATTTTTTTCTTAATGTTGACTTAATAGATATTTGCCTGTAAACAAAATGCTATTCATTTTGAGGATTAGGAACCATAAATGAAGCACCAGCACAGTGTCTGGCACACAGAAGACACTTAATAAATAATATTCTGTTACTACTATTCTTCTTTATATTTTTTGTTGAGTATTTGATTCATGATTAAAATGTTGTTTGCTTTATTTTGTGTGTTTAAGCTCTTTAACTTTGATCTGGAAGTTAAACCAATGTTAGACGTTTTGGTGGGAAAAACAATTGAGCAGTCTCTTCTGGAAGTAATGGAAGAAGAAGAGTTGGCTAACCTGCAGGCCATGCAGTATGCTTATGAAGAAATTCAGAATATTGAACTTGCTGAAGTTCAGCGACTTGAAGAGCAAGAGAGGAGACACCGAGAAGAAAAAGTATAGAATTCTATTTTTCTTTCTTAGACAGTCTTTTAGTTACTTAGCACATTATGTTCAAAATTACATGTGGTATATCATAAAACTAAAGATCTTTGGGAATATGTTAGAAAAAGACCTATAGTATTATAGTATTTGTTGCTCAGGTCTCTCTTTTTTTTTTTTTTTTTGAGACAGGATGTCTAGCTCACTGCAACCTCAAACTCCTGGGCTCAAGCAATCCTCCTGCCTCAGCCTCCTGAGCAGCTAGGACTATAGGCAAGAGCCGCCATACCAGACCTGGCTAACTTTTCTATTTTTTATAAAGACGGAGTCTCGCTCTTGTTCAGGCTGGTCTTGAACTCCTGACCTCAAGCAATCCTCCTGTCTCAGCCTCCCAAAGTGCTAGAATTACAGGCACAAGCCACCACACCCACCCTGGTCTCTCCTATAGATCATAGATCTTTCATGGACTGAATTACATTTTTTAAATTCAGCTTACATAAATGTACCTAAATTGAGTTTCCAAAAGTTCCTAAATGTAATGAAAGTTCCTAAATTACTTGTGTCCCAATTGGAAGGCACTCTTAAAAATCAGCAGTCCTGGAGAAAGAAATGCATACATTGATTTGCCATAAGTTAGTGGCATAAAGATGGAAAGACAAAAAAAGTGGAGGGTATTGGGAAGAGATGGGGATAAGAATTCTGGATAGAATTCTGGGTCTTTTTGTCAGTGGCCAAGCCCTTCTCTATACCCCTAGGGATACACCAGAACTACCTGGGTCCTTATAGAGTATTTTTCAGATTGTAGGGTTTTAAAATCTTCAACAAGAGAAGTTTTACAATTCAGTTTTTAAAAATATGCCAACAGCCTGCAGTTAGGAAACACTAGACACAGTAATCTTTAAGGATCTTTCTGGTTCTGGCAGTAACTGTCACCGTTGTTGTTTACTGAATGAATGAATTTTAAAGTAGTGCCTGAATACCTAAAAACAATTAAAATAATTTCCCAAAGGCCCTAACTTACTATGAACAATAGCTTATTAGTTGGGAAATTCTACTCAATACCTAATTAAATGGACTTTAAGTTTTCCTCCAAAATGAATAATTAATTAACAAAAAGCATAATAGGTCTTACAGTAAGGATTGTACAAATGCAAGACATTGTTTATGAATATAAAATACTGGAAAAACAAGCTTTGTTGAAATAATCTGTGAAATCTTTATGAAAAATATTTGTTTTCTCTCTATTAGGAAAAATATGGAAAAACGAATACAAACTACGTAGATTTATATTTGCTTAAACTTTGAAAATAGATTTAATTAGAAAATATATTAATGCTCCCACTTCCACATGAGAGTAGAGAAGAGGGTTCATTAGCTTTATAGATAGTACATGGTCTAAAGGAAACAACAGCAAAAAATAAGAGGCTTTCATAATCTTCAGAACCATGTCAGCTTTATGAATTCAAAGAATTATTACAAACGAGTTCTTCATTGGCCCAAGTTCCTTCATTGAAGATTTCTAAACAATTATAATTCTCTTATCAGTAATATTTTATGATAATTAAAATACATATAACTATTATTATCTTTATATCCATATATTCGGGCATGTATATCTTGAAATTATTTTACTGGAAAATGGATTAAGAGATGAATTTTACCTTAAGCTCCATATTTTATACCTTTTTGAATTCAGTACCCACTGAATTCAGTACCCATTCAGTTGTTGAAGTTCAATAGAATCTTGAAAAATATGAACCTTTGATTGATAGACACCTTGGCCTCCATTTTCTGATAAGTCCAAATTCTCCCACTTATTTACTTCACTTGATTTGGTATTTGGGGAGGGCATAAGAGGTACAAACCATCTATGTTCTCCTTGGCAGGAGCGTCGGAAGCACCAGCAGTGGGAAATAGTGAACAAGCATAAAGAGACCTCACAGAAAATCGCCGCCCGTGCGTTTGCGCAGCGTTACCTGGCTGACCTTCTCCCATCTGTTTTTAGCAGTCTCAGGGATAGTGGCTACTTTTATGATCCCATTGAAAGAGGTTTGTGGATATTTTTGTAAGATTAACTCTGCTTTAATCATCCTCTTAATGGTTAAATTTATCTCATGCCCATTTTTTTGTGAGTTGGAACTTTCTAGCTCTGAAACAAGTAAAAAAGTCAATTACAATTGTTTTAAGTAAGTACTAAGTAAGTAAGTGCTAATAAGAGGTGTATTATAAAGATACTGATTTTAGGATATTGGCATTTCTTTACTGAGAAGCAACATTGGATAGTAGAAAGAAATATGTACTTGATAGCAAAAACTTGAGTTAGGGTCCCAGATTCATCATTAACTGCCTTTATGACTTCTAGTTTCATCATGTGTGAAATGAGGAGGATTTAGGAATTAAGTCAAAGTATATGAAACTTTTTGTAAACTATAAAGCGGTATGTATGTAAAAATAGTTATTAACTTTTTCTCAGCTGACTTCCTATTCCAATCAAAAACCCTTTGGAGGCAGCTGTCATGGCCTGATAGCTGTCTGTCCTCATCCCTCAAAGCCCACCCCTAGGTGGTCAACCAGAGGGAGGGAAGGGCTGTGTGTCCCCACTGCCACCCTCTTTCCACAGCACTTACAGTGCAAAGCACTTACATCCACGGTGCTTTGTGTATAGGCTAATAATATTTTATTAATTTCATTGGCCAATTGTATTTTATTAATGTTAGTAATGTTAATTTTCACTGATTACATATTCAATTCCATATGTAGAGGTCAGATCACAGACAAGTATTATTAGTTTACATTTATATAGCACTTTCCAATTTACATAATGTTTTCTCATATGTGATGTCATTTGATCCTCCCAGTAACCCTGCGAGGAAGATGACAGATATAATTTCCATTTTTCAGTAGAAGCTGAAGCTCAGAGAAGTTAAATGCCTTGCTCCCAAACCCTCAGTCAGTGGAAGTGTTTAGGTCTCAAACTGACTTGGAACTCTGACTCCAAGTCCAGTGTTCATTCTGTGCTACCATTCTACCTTCTTGCATTCTGGCTAGGCCTCTTACTGTTAGTCACGGAGAGCAGTAACCTTTTTTTCTATTGTGGATTACCAAAAAAGTCAGTTTTAGATCAATTTAAAACCCTGCAAATGAAATTCATGCCTGAGATTAAAATTACTTATAGTAGCAATATAATATCCTATCACACTGTCTATTGAAAAATAAAATTAGATGCCTGCCCCCCAAAAAGCTATTTTGAACCTTTAAAATGTATATCATACTCTGGGAGGCCGAGGCGGGTGGATTGTTTGAGCTCAGGAGTTCGAGACCAGCCTGAGCAAGAGGAGACCCATCTCTACTAAAAATAGAAAGGAATTAGCTGGACAACTAAAAATATATAGAGAAAATTAGCCGGGCATGGTGGCACATGCCTGTAGTCCCAGCTACTCGGGAGGCTGAGGCAGGAGGATCGCTTGAGCCCAGGAGTTTGAGGTTGCTGTGAGCTAGGCCGACGTCACTCACTCTAGCCAGGGCAACAGAGTGAGACTCTGTCTCAAAAAAAAAAAAAAAAATGTATTATAATGGACAACATTTTTTAAACGCTTACACAGTAGATTTTCATTTCAGTCTGAATAAACTTACTACTAATGGGAATACCTAGTTTTTGACTCGTTTCTAGATGGCTCCCTCCTCAGATGCCTCTGACTTGTATCCTCTGAGTCTGATCAGCTTCCATTAGGCCCTGGGTTTCAGGTGGGGGCATTCTTTTTACTGGCCTTGCTCAGTCGCAGATTTGCATTGCATTTGGATTGGCATTCTCCCAGATCCGCATCCTTCCCCGCCTCCTTGATCTGCCCCAGATTTCACCTCTGAAGTCAGCTCCAAATGCCTTGACTCCAAGGAAGTCCTCATAGTTTTTAAAATATCACTTCTGCCATGGAAAGGAAACTAACTGGAACATATGTAGAGAACATGGCAAAAGTTACATTCTATGAGTTTATTTAACATTTCATATTAAGAAACCAATGTTGATGAATCTGTTACATTAGGAGAAAAGCACATTCTTGCTGTCTCTAGTGATTTATAAAAGTCACTTAATGGAATTATTTTAATTATAGATATTGAGATAGGATTCCTTCCATGGCTAATGAATGAAGTTGAAAAAACCATGGAATACAGCATGGTGGGAAGAACAGTGCTTGACAGTAAGTTCTTTTATTTTATTTAAAAGCCATCTCTGAAATTTTCAGTAAAAAGAACAAATTGACGAGATATTAATTTTATGGTTTTAGTGCTTAAACTTTCAATATATCAGTTATATTAACAAAGCTGCAAATTTTTATCCTCAACATTGTTTTTAGTTCTTCTGTAATTTGATCTGTGTTAATATCTTCCATCATTACTTTATAAATGATATTCTGTTAAAACAGGCAGAGAATATAATTCATATTCAATGCATTAGTGGTGTAGAAATTAAGTATGCTTGGGGGGGTTAAAAAAAAGAAATTAAGTATGCTGACTTTTACAAAAGGTTATGATATAGGAAAGGGATGAGGCTTAGTGAATGTTTGTTTTATACTCATCTGTAAGTCTAGCACCATAACTACTAAAATATGAAAATCATAGTGATTTCTGAACATTTAACTTTTCAGTGTTGATTCGTGAAGTGGTTGAAAAGAGGCTGAGTATGTATGAGAATAAGGAGGACAAACATCAGTCTCTGAGACCTGAGGATGAGCATGGTGGTCCTGGAGCAATGAGAGACCAACCAGTCAGTTATGACTTCCAAGAGCAAAGCCTGTCCCACACGCAGAGGCCTCTTTTAGACAGAGATGACCTACCAAGAATGTCATATGATGGAAGGCCATCCCAAGAAAGGAAGTATATGGAAGAAGGAGAGCTCTTAGGGCAAAGTGAAGAAACAGCAATAAGGAAATCCTTAGGGAAGGAAGAATTGTAACAGCAGAGGGGAGCTTCAGAGTCATGAAACTGATCAGCAGCTGAATCAGCGATGCAAACGATCAGGTAATGATGCATGAGTCTCCTCAGGCTGTAGAAATTATGTTGTATTTAGTCAACATGTCTTTTTGTCTGATGGACTGGGCAAATTAAATGTGATAAAACAAAAAAATAAATTTAATAATAATATATTTAAAGGCTATATTGTAATTCTAACGGGAATTCTACTTAATTACTATCTTCCAATTACCACTACATGTATCTAGCAAATATATTTTTCCTTAACCTTTTAATTTTGTGTGTGCTTTTTTTTTTTAGTAAATATGATATTTAATACTACATTTCAGTGCTGTCAGCCATTAAGCTTTTCTTCTCTGTAGGAAAACTATTTTACTCTATGAAAGAATACCTGAATGTCATGTTACTGAACATTATAGTGCTCCCTCCACACGAGGACCAAGAACTATACCCTGATTTGTGTAAAATTAAACAATAGGTCGGTCATGCCTGCAATCCTAGCACTCTGGGAGGCCAAGGCGGGAAGACCTCCTGCTTGAGGTCAGGAGTTTGAGACCAGCCTGAGCAAGAGCAAGACCCTGTCTCTACAAAATAGAAAACTTAGCCAGATGTGGTGAGCACCTGTAGTCCCAAGCTACTTGGGAGGCTGAGGCAGGAGGATCTCTTCAGCCCAGGAGTTTGAGGTTACAGTGAGCTATGATGACACCACTTCACTCTAGCCAGAGTGACAGAGTGAGACTCTGTCTCAAAAAAAAATTAAACAATAGATAGCCCTTTCAGCTTCAATATTCAAGTAAGACTTAAGGGGTCCTGTGGATTGGTAATACGCTTTCACGTATTTTTTTCGCATTCCTGCTATTTAAAAATTTCAGGCAATGCCAATAAAGCACAAGTCCCTGTTTGCCCTTATGCAGTCTCACTCCCCTCCTCAAAGGCAAATCACTATTATCAGTAGGGTGTGTATCATCGAGGCCTTTTTAGAGATATTTATATACACGTATGTTTGAACATCTAGAAATATATAGGTTGATTTTTCTTTATATAAATATTTTCATATTTTATTTTTATTTTTCACTTAACAGTGTGTCTTAGATCTTTCAACATTAGTAAACATAAATCTCTTTTTAAAATATGGTATGATATTATGTATTATGAATGTGCTATAGCATAGGGAATTAACATTTGACTTTTTTATCTGAACATATTTGGAGAACTTACCTGATTAAAGTTCACAGATTGTTTTATCTCCAAAGCCTTGTCCATCTTAAGTAATAACTGAAATCTTCTGAGCCTTCAGATACATATATCCTATTTTTCTCGGAATATTTATAAATAAATAAGCTATAATGATTTAAAATAACTTATAATTATTAGCCCATTTACCTTAATTTCTTTTTAAGTTAGGGACCACAACTATATCCACATTTTAAAAATTTAAAAGAATGTAGCCATTTTCCCATAAATTATATCGCTATATCATTTAAACCTCATAGTATCCTTCTGAGGCATGCATGATAATATTTATATCTTTAGTTTCTAATTATTAGTTTAGTCCACCAGCAGACATTAACTGAGTGCCTGCTATGTGTTTGGAATGAGGCTGCAGATATAGCAGTGGACAGACATGAATACTGCATGCATATTTTTACAGCCTAGCAGTGGAGCTAATGGAAGGAAATGATGTAAATGAAGAAACCAAAGTTCGGGGACTTTAAGTGATTGCAGTAGGTGACAAGCCTACTAAGTATTAGGACTAAAGCTGGAACCCAAATTGTCTCAGCAAACATATAACTTAAACCCTTTGAGGCCGCTGGAATCATTGAGCTAAGAGACAATGTCATCTCTAAGATTCTTTCAAGTTGTTAAGGTCATTTACTTTACCCAAACTTTTCCACGTTTGGAAAAGACATCCAGTCCGGCCAATAGTTCAGCCACTGTGCTGGTCCACATTGCAGGGAGCAATGCTGGTCCAGCAAGTACCTCCCGTCAATGCGTTCCCACTCGTATAGGATAAGGTTACGCTATTTTTATTATATCTACAGGCGATAGAGCTGTATTCACTTGTAGCCCCAAGTTTGCCAGATGAGGTGAAGGCACAGTCCACCACCTTATTGTACTGTATCACGAGTACCTGAAACCACGGAAAGCAAAACCACAGATAAGGGGGACTGCTGTATAATAATTAGGGCAGTCTAGTATTACTACAAAGATATGCTAATAGGCCAATGTAAAAGAGTATTATGTCCAGAAACAGTCCACACATATATAAACAAGACAAAAAGTGACACTACAGTGGGGAAAAAAATGAGTCTTTTTCAATAAATAGTGATGAATCAACTGAATAATCACACAGAAAAAAATGAATCTTGATTCCTATCTCATACCATAGACAAAAATCAAATCCAGTTAGACTGCAGGTCTAAATATGAAAGATAAAACAATAATCTCTTATAGGAAAATATATTTGTGACCTGTTTTAGGCAAAATTTCTTAAACAGGACAGAAAGAAGCACTGATCATAAAAGAAAAATAGATAAATTAGACTATATTAAGTTTAACAAACTATTTATCAAACTACACCATTAAGACAGTAAATGGCAAACAATGGAATGGGAAAATATTTTTGCGATGTATATAACTGACAAAGGTCTAATATCCAAAACATAGAGATCTGCAAATTTGTAAGAAAAAGATTAACAACTCAACAGAAAAGAGCAAAAGATTAGAACACAAAAAAGGATATTCAAATGGCCAGAAAACTTGTTTTAAAAAGTGCTAATCCTCATTAATCATCAGGGAAACACAAATTAAAACTACAATGAGATACCCACCTACCAGTATGCCCAAAATTGACAGGACGTGACACATGTTGGCAAATATTTGGTGGAACTGAAACTCTCAAACACCGTTGGTAGGAATGCAAATTGGTACAACTTGGGAAAATTGTTCGGCACTATCTATTAAAGCCAAATATAAGCAAACTCTATAAACAAATAGGCATAAACCCAATGAAAGGAGCACATATGCACACAAAGTCATGCGTGAGAATATTCATAGTGGCATTGTTTTTAATAGACAAAAACTGGAAACAATCTAAATATTCATAAACAGGGAGATGGATAAACATGAGTATATTCACACAATGGAATAATATGCAGAAAAGAATGACTAGTACACCCAGATGAACCTCATAATGTTGAGTGAAAGAAGCTAAATATAAAAGAGTATGTACTTTATGATTTCATTGATGTGAAGTTCAAACATGGATCAGACTCATTTCTGATTTTAGGAGTCAGAAGAGAGCTCCTCTTGAGAAGCAAAGTTGCTCAGAGGAGCAAGACAGAAGCTTCTGGGCTCCTTCAGGTAATTTATATTATAATCTGGCAGGGACATGAGCATGCTTGCTTTGTGAAAATTCATCAGGTTGTATATTCTCTATATGTTCCATAAATAAGTTTATTTGTTAATGAGTAGCTTATACATACCAATCTTCAGTGAGCCCATAAATATAGATGCACAAATAACCAAAAAAATCCTGCCATTGCCCCTTTCTTACCCAGGCTGGGATTCCAGCCTTCCTCACAGTCTCTACCATTTTCTCAACTCTTTCCTGGAGTCTCCAAGGGAAACCTCACATGTATTTACAAAACAGTCTGTCAAACATATCAACTTCTGCAAATTCCAGAAAACCAGTTGTATAAAGAGTCAAAATCAAAATTTAAGTCAGGGCTCAGCTAGGGTACCCCGTTACTCAAAAACAAGATCCCATACTGCAACCTGCTGTTCGAATTTACAGTGGGCTTCCTCCCTCCTCAACATGTAGAAATCCACCTTATCCCCTTTAACAGCTATAGAATCATCTATGTTATAACCTTACAGTATTTCACTTTACAAGCCCCTTTAAAGAACATTTAGGTTGTTTCCAACATTTCGCTTTTATAAAGATATTCTAGTGAATATCCTAGCACAAATATTGTTCTCATTTGACTATCTTTTCATTAGAATATGTTATTTGAAGTATTAGGCCAAGTGGGGGGCTTATGGGTAAGGATTTAGATACATGCTACCAGCTTATCTTCAGAAAGCATTTACCACCAGCCCCAACCCCTGCAGTCCAGGAAAGCATCTACATCCTTGCCAACGCTGGTTATTGTCCGTCTTTTTTGTTTCTTTGTTTATTTTTTGTTTGTTTGAGACAGGGTCCCACTTAGTTGCCCAGACTGGCCTTGAACTCCTGGGCTCAGGCAATCCTCCCACCTCAGCCTCCCGAGAAGCTGGGACTACATGCAGGTGCTGCCATGTCCAGTTTATTGTCTGTCTTTTTTTTTTTTTTTTTTTTGAGACAGTGTCTCACTGTGTTGCCTGGGCTAGAGTGCCGTGGCGTCAGCCTAGCTCACAGCAACCTCAAACTCCTGGGCTCAAGCCTCCTGCCTCAGCCTCCCGAGTAGCTGGGACTACAGGCATGTGCCATCATGCCCGGCTAGTTTTTTTTTTCTATATATTTTTAGTTGTCCAATTAATTTCTTTCTATTTTTAGTAGAGACGGGGTCTTGCTCTTGCTCAGGCTGGTTTCGAACTCCTGAGCTCAAACAATCTGCCTGCCTCGGCCTCCCAGAGAGCTAGGATTACAGGCGTGAGCCACCGCGCCCGGCCTATTGTCTGTCTTTTTAACCCTTACCAAATCTGATGTATGAAAATCACATTTCATCATTTTAGTTATTTCTTTCTGGTTATTCACAAGGTTGAACATACACGTATTGGCCATTTAGAGTTCTTTGGTAGACTCTCCCATTTTTAGTGAGGTCTACTTACTGATTTTTAAATAGTTCTTCATATACAGTAAAGAGATTAACCACGTTTCTATTACATATGAAGCAACTTTTTCTTAGTTTGATATTTGACTTTACATTTTGTTTTGTGCTCTTCCTCATCCAGGAGTTCTTAATTTTCATATGTAACATCTGTCCACTTTTGTTTTCTGTCTTTGATATCAATGCCGAGAAAAACCTTCCCTCCCCCAGTATTTTCGTCTGTTTCTGAGGCCAAGGTCACACTGCCCATAACAGTGAAGCCAGAATTCAAATATGACTTTGTCTTACATTATACCTTATATGTGTAACTCCTCACTACACTATTAGCAATGACA